TGTATTCATGTTGAATTTTCAAACTCCACAACTCGAAGAAAATATTGCAACACTTCATTATCCACACAATCAAAATCGTTAAATGGAAACATAATCAATCGATCAGAATTAATTTTCCCTTACATTACTATTTGGCACCAATTAGCACTAATGTATCAAAATCCAGGTTTCGAATCTAATCTTCGGCATTGGACAAATTGGTCAAATTTTGATAAATATCTTTGTGATATTTATAATGACAATATTTGGAAAACTTTTGAAAATGAAAATTTGAAATTATTTTTTAATAAAAAAAAGGCAGATTCATACTTAGGATTGGTGCTAAATATTGACTGGTTTCAATCATATGATAACAAAATGCATAGTACTGGTGTTATATATGCGGCAATCGCTAATCTATCACATGAAATACGATTTAAGTACGAAAATATGCTGATTCTTGATATATTACCAGGCCCTAGTGAACCAAGTTTGCATTAAATAAATCATTACCTTTCACCAATAGTAGACGAATTGTTGCAACTATGGCAAGAAGTAATGTTAGATTCTATCGCTGAAAATAAAAATGGGAAATAATTCGGGCTGCTTTGATTTTAATTTCATGCGATATTCCTGTAGCACGAAAAGTATGTGGACATATTTCGGCACTAATATCATGCTATCGCTATAAGAAAAAGGCAAATTATGTCAACAATCAATATAACTATGGTGATATGAATGATATGAACGAATGATTTATACCAAGGAATTTGACAACCCATAAACGAAATTCTATCAAATGGAGAAGTTGTAGTTCTAATGCTGCACGAAAACGATTTGTTAGCGAAAATCATGTCAGATGGTCAGAACTTCTCTGCCTATCATACTTTAATCCTATTCGACATTTAGTCATCAATCTTATACACTGTCTTTTTTTGGGTATCAGCAAATGGCTTGTTAAATGAATATGGATTGAAGAGGGTATATTAACAAACAATGCATTGAATGAAATACAGTTGATAATAGAAAAGTTTCAAGTACCATTAGATGTTGAATGAATCCCAAGAAAAGTAAATATTGGTGAAGGTTTCTCAAATTTTACTGCTGATCAGTGGCAAAATTTCTTTATAATATATGCAACCACCATTTTATGAAAATATCATTTGGATACAGATCATCAAATTTTAACGAATTTTGTTAAAATATATCAAATTTTAGTATGTCGAATTATAAGATGAGACTTATTAAATAAAGCACACGAAAAGTTAATCAAAGTTATTAAATTAATCGAACAAAAATATGGAGCAGAAAAAATTATACCAAATCTTTATCTTTCCTTGCATTTGCATGAATGCGCATATGATTATGGATCATTATACATTTTTTGGTGCTTTTTATTTGAAAGAATGAATGGTGTACTTGGTAAGTTTTTAGTATATATTAGTTTTATTACTTACAGTATTCATTAATAAACTTTAATATAGGTTCTTTATCGAATAGTCATCGAAAAATTGAACTGAAATTAATGTGAAGACTAATGAATGACCGCCGAATTTTACATTTGACATCAACTTATTCGAATAAAATAGGATTTGAATTTCTGGATAATGAATCAAATGTTAGTTCAATTTCTGAACTGGATTAATTTTCAGCTAACGAATTATATCAATTTTTAAACAACACATATAATATTTATAAGACAGTTACCAATGGATCAGAAAAATTTCTGGATGAATTATTGTAGCCAAAGAAATTGAATTTAATATTACCTGCTGAAATATTGGATCTATTAATCAAATATTATAAGGCTTCATATAAAACAATGAACTTTCAAAGACCATTCACAAATGATATTAATGATTCGATAGTTATTCAGAATAGAGCAAATCAATATGGAAAATGCCAAATAGGAAGCGAAATTTTTGATTCTCTTATGTCTTCACAAAATATAAAGGGTTCATTTGTGTTAGCTTGATTTGTAAATCATGATAGAAGTGTCGATTTATATCTGGGACAAGTTCAATTTTTTTTCACATATTCGGTTAATTTTTCGAATAATATGGTATGCCATAAATTGGCTTTTATTCGATGGTTTAAACCAGTTAATTCGGCAAATATAAGATTTCATTTTGGCTCAGAAAATGAAATGAATATTGAATTATGAAATATTGAATTTTACCCAATTAAATGCGAATGTATAATCCCTATTTACAATATTTTTGATCGATTTATTTCATTTATAAATAAAATATCAAATCGGCATAATTCTTGTAAATATTTAGCTATAATTTCATTAAACTGCAAGTATAATATTTAAAATCACTAAAAATCAGCTATAATTAGGCATAAAATATTTTTTATCTAAATTTGATTTTTTTAAAAAAAATATACTATAAATTTTATTTTATTTTATTTTATTTTAATTATTACAAAATATAAAATATTATTTTATAAATCGGCATATGCTGAATTTTTGCCAAGTGGTATTATACCGAATTTTTATCAAATAATACTATGTCGAATATTGTATTCAAATGTTTAATGAGTGGCAGTATGCGAATGGCACTATTTTGACTAGTATATATTATTAAAAATCAGAATTGTATTATATAAATATCTAATAATTATTTGAAAAAGTAACTTAAATTTATAAATTATTAAAAATAAATTAAATATTTTCCAAAGTTTAATATCTTATAATATTATTTTCAAGTTTTCGATTTAATACTATTTATCTGAAAAATTTAGAACTTCTGAATTATATATTTTATAGTATAATTAAAGTTAAAATTGTTATATGTATTTAAAAAAAGTTTATTATATAATATTTGAAATAAATTTGAAATTATACAATTTTTATTATTTTTAATTTAAGATTTATAATATATTGTTAATATATAAAATAAATATATCAATTTAAATTATATAATATATTAAATTATATATCATGAAATTAAAAATATTTTATATAATATTTGTATAATATACAATGAACCTTTTCTAAATGCACTTCTCTTGAAACCATAATAAAGTTTTTAAAAAATGTGCATTTATAAAAGGTATATATTTATAAAGGTGATTTTATTAAATATTCTATATACTTGTGACCAAACTTAACCATGTATTTAGAAAAAGAAAATATAGTAAATGCATTTAGGAAGAGTGCATTTAAGAAAGGTTCTCTATAATATTAAATTAATAAATATTGTATATTATAATTAATATAAATAATTATAAAATAAAATAATTAAAATAATAAATATTTTGTATTTGCTATTTATTTTTATTTTGTAATATTAAATTAAAGAATTGAACAAATAAAAAAAAAATTTTGTTGACAAGTATTTTTAATAATACATATGAAAAAAATCTTACTTATCAGCATAAGATAAAAATAGTAATAAACTTGTTAATAATAATAACAATATATATTTAAAAATTATAATTGAATACTAAATTCTTGAAAAACTATATGTTAATTTTATATACAATATGTAATAACTTATAATTTATAATGTTAAAAAAAGTAATATAATATATATAAATATTTTAATTATATATAATTTTTTACACGCTTATTTCATTATATTTAAAATATTGATATCTTCTCATTGGAAATGTCATTATGAATCCTTATCAAGAGGTGAATATTTGCACGCTTATTTCATTATATTTAAAATGTTGATATCTTCTCATTGGAAATGTCATCTACTTTGTATATACAGTATATTCTAACCGATAAATATTATTTCAAAGATATAAAGGTTTGTTTATAATTTAAAGATCAAACGTTTTTTTAAGGCAAGTGTTTAAGGTTTATAAATAAGTTAAAGGTTCGTGTTTTTTTTTGTTTAAAATCAAAAGTTTGTCTTTTTAAAGATATGAGTTGAGATTCATATTGCAAGCGTTTCCTTTATAAATGTTATGGTGTTAAAACTCTTGGAATTACAGCACCGTTTTGATTCCTATTTATATATTCGGGTATTTCATGCACCTAACATTCCATACATCATATTTCCATCATGCGTGGTTCCCATACATCATACTTTTCTTATCGTATTTTTCCATACATCATATTTACACGTCGTGTTTTCCATTGGCGCAACAATTATGTAACGCGCTGAGTCATTCCCCGTACCTATCTTATACCGGTTCCTGAACATCAGTGACTACTACATTGTTATCATCCTCATTAGTAAGCTTTTTATGATATAGCTCTTTTTAATTGTGGAGGGATCTTTGGTAACGGCATTAACAATATTATCACATGAATAATAATAGGAAGGAGGCACGATGACCTTGGAACGCGACAACGCGTTCACTTTTCCCGTATGTCAGAATCTTATGTACATTTTATGCCATTGTATGATTACGAGAATTCTGTATTCTCTTGTTTGGAAGTTGATTATTCAAAGACCGATCTAAATCCAATTGATGAGGAATTCTACAACAGTGGGTGCCTGAACTTTGAATTTCCATTCCACGTCGCAGAACCCCTATAGGATCCTTCGCGTGGACTAATAATTGTTGGCTGTGAAATGCACAAGATGAAAGATGCTTTCTTTTTACTTCAAAACGAAGGTGACATTTATAAAGTAACACATTATTACGAGGAATGATTTATGGATTGCAACTACTTATTATTAGCAGAGTTTTAGTTGCTATTTTCGGCCGCAGAGGGGGTGTTCTTTATGCACTACCCTTACGGCACTTGTGCAGGTGCACTTACAATGATTTCAAGTGAAATTTCCGAATTACGGAAATCCTACATTATATACGATATCACGTGTTTAATATAAGACCGACCAGATATTTTTCTATCGTTTTAATAAAATTTCTCAAAAACTAGAAAAATAATTTTAAATAATATTTTAATATGTTATATCAAATCTATCTATTTACATCATATTAAAATTTTATCTAAATAAAATTGCTAGTTTTTGAGAAAATATACATAAACTAAAAAAATATACACTCAAAGGATCGTCACGAATTCACGAAATTTACGCGAAATTATTGATCATTATAAATATCTTACGAAACTATCATTGTTTTAATATAAAATAAAATAAAATTTCAAATATAAAAAATTTCAATATTTATTAATAAATATACAAGTTTTTATAAGTTTTTATCAAAAATTAAAAAAATTATATTAATATAAAAAATTTTTAATAAAAAAGTATACATGTATAGATACTGTAATAATGAAAATAAATATAAAAAAATAAAAAAATAAATAATAAATAATAACAATAAATAAAAAAATAAATAATAAATAATAACAATAAATGATAAAATAAATAAATTATTTTTTTTTAATTGAATTAGTAAAATATGAATTTCTTTTTCTCTTATTAGAAGAATAAGAAGAATTTTCATTATTATTTTGATTTATATTTTCTAATAAATCAATAGAAAGCTTTCTAAAATTTTTTTTTTAATACTAAGTGGTCTTCCTCATGCTTTATTGATAAAAAAAACTTTCTAAAATTAGATAATAATAATTCTTTATTTATTAATGAATTAAAATCATTAATAGCTATTGTTAATTTATTATTAAGATTATTTTCATTTAAATTAATATTTTCAAATATTTCATTATTATCAATTTCTTTAATATTTTCAATATTATCATCTATTTTATCATCATTTTCATTATTTTCATAATTATTTTTTTCAAGAGTTAATCGAGAATTAAAAGATTTTGATAATTCTTCAATTGACAATTTATAATATTGAAAACAATAATCACCAATAAATTAATAAAAAATATAGAATGATATATATATCCACATATTATACTAGTCAAAATTTGATTATTCAGCATGTCAAATTATTGCCAAATTTTTAAATTTTTATAATTAAATTTAAGTTGAATTTATATCATTTGGTGTTACTTGGCATAAAATCAAATACAAATATTTATTACATATTTGTTAATAGTTCAATTATAATATTATAGCATTTGGCAATATAAATACAAATATTTGATAGATAACTTAATCATAATTTAACATATTTGATGTTTAAAAATTTGATGAATTTTCATATATACAGTAGAAATCATATATTGTTGACCAATCCTTTAAAAATTCAAATCTAATTTAAATGTTTTAAAAATATTAGAACAAATAGTTTATCACAATTCTTGATCCTCTAATTTTTTTCAAGTTTTTGTAATTG